AAAGCCTCCGAGCCGCCCTCCTCCCTCCTACCCGCCGTCCGGAGGTGAGGCGGGTCGCGCCGAGGCAGTGCTTGAAAGCAGCTCATAAAGAGCCGCGTCCTGCAGCGGGTCAGTGATGGAAGAACACAGCCTGACACCGACCGGCCGGGCCGAGACGGTTCTGTTGATGTGCCGGCTGAGGAGAGAGGAGGCCAAGACTCAACCGGCAAAGACAACGACCACTAAACACACTGATGTGTCCAGAGAGGCCTGAAGAAAGATGAAGAGCTCAGAGTGTCCAGCAGCAGGTCGACCAGAACATCGTCGTCCAGCAGACGACCAGGAGCTGCTTCCTGAACCGAACCACTGATCGGAGCTGAATGATGGTCCGCAGATACCAGGCTGCAGAAATGAGCTGAAAGCTGCTTTAACTGATGTGTTTGCTGTTTAGTCGCAGCAGATCTTTTAGTGGTTTGGATTTATGACCAACATCTTCACTGCTCTGATTTGCTCTTTTGGATTTTTTAAATTTTATTTAGTTAATTTTTTTCACAGTTGTTAACTGGAATTTATTTTTGGAACAATTTACTGCTTTTTAAATTAATTTTTTTTTTCAAATTGAAATAATTTTTTTCACATATTTTCCTAGTTTGGTTGCATTACAGATAAGATCCATTAAAATAACAGAAAAAATAAAATAATTGGCTTGTTACTCATTTGAAATTTGGACAAAACTGTAAATATTGTCCACATTAATAATCTATGATTTTATAATCAGTAATTTTTTATCAATGCTTGACCATGAAATTATTATTTTTTTCTGTATTTACTCATAAAAATACTGTCATTTCACATATATGTCTTGTATTGTGAAAAAAAAATGTTTATAAAGGATTAAAAAATAGGATTTTTTTTTTTTTAACTTCTGTTTTATAGACTTTCCTTTTTTGTTGAATAAATTACAGCTGTCTGGTCAAATCACAGAAAAAAACCAAATAAAACCTTGTTTAAAAGGAAATTGATGTTTATTAAGGATTAAAAAGTCGTAAATCAATTTTAAAACGGCTATTTTATAGATGGTCCTTGTTTTGTTCAATAAATTACAGACGATGAAGTAAAATCACAGCTTTACTGTATTTTAATCTACCAGAAACACAGTTTGACAGTTTCTACATGTTTCAGTATTTTATCAGCTTTATGAGGATGTTTGTTTGTTTGTTATTTTACATGTAGATCTTTAGATTTTATTTTTTAAAACAAAACATGTGAGACTTTTGGTTTCGTCAGTAATAATTAACCGAACTAAANGCACATAAAGGTGAGTCCTGTCATTTCCTGCTTGATTGCACCTTATTCCTCGCACTATAATTTGCAACCTATTAATTACTTTTAGTGCGCTATACCTCCTCTTAACGCATCGTTTTCTGTGATCTATCTCAGGTCCTGTCTGCACACAGGTGTACAGGCGTCACTCATTGATCACTGATCACTCTCATCAGTGCGCTCACACATATCGGACGCAGATTAAAAAGTTTAAACCTGACAAATGCTAACATTTCCGTACAGCGCCGTGTGAAGATACAGGTGCCATTTAAACCTAATCTTGCTTGTCACGTCTGCGGTCCATGTATATCTAAGAGCCGGGCGCTAATGCAGCCTTCAACATGACTGAGCGCCCCGCCGTAAATCACCCTAATGACTCGGAGCGAGGCGGCCAGATGGATTTGGGAGCTGATTTGCTCATATGAGGGAAGTAAATGAAAGATTGCGTCATGGAGATGGGGGTGGGGGGAAGGAGAGCTTCCGGGTTTGTGTCTTACTTGATCTCGGGTTCGTAATCCTGATAGCTGAGCGACGACAAAGAGGCAGAAACAAATCAACCAGAGGAGGCGTGAGGAGAATTTAAAAAAAGTTCAGAAGATGAACCCCAACACATGAAGACAGGTTTCAGGACGGGGTTCTGCCGGTGATTTACAGGTGCTAGCCGCAATTATCTGGGCCCGCAGAAGTATCCAGCTCCCCCTCGTAAACGCTGGCAGACCTTGGCGTTTAAGCCGTTATAAATGGGCCAGGTGTGCAGCGAAAAATAAATGATTTATGAATTCACCGGGGCAACCATTAAACATAATTTTCCCAGGGCTGTCTTAATGACCTGGTGGGAGAGGCACTTCATCAAGGTGATTGCCCCCAGATTGGACGCAGAAACACAAGCGGGTGGGCACGAGAAAGAACAAAAAATAAAAAAAAACACCACCCACCGTCCTCTAACCGGATCAGGAGGAAGAGGAGGAGGAGGAGGGAAATAAAAGGGATGATAGAGACACGAGAGGTCACGGGGAAAGCATCCGAGGGAACAGGATATGAAGAGGCTGATATCGGCGCGTGGCTTATCTCGCTTCTGGAGTTATCAGATAGAAAAAAAAGGAGAAAAAAAAAATGGAGGATGATTTTTGAGGGAGCCTTCGGGCGAAACTTCTGAGAGTCGCTGAAAAGCAGAGCGGCTCGCTTTCAGCCGCAAGGAATCCACGAGCAGCGGTTAATTTGGAGCGTTTTTGATGCAGGAATCGTAATTAAACGTGCATCCTAAACAAATTCAGAAGCCGAGGAGAAGCTTTATTGCGCTAATTGTCGAGCAAAAAAACGAAGAAGAGCAATTTCACGCCGAGCGCTGCTTCAAGATCCAAATTACCTATATGCTCGTCAGACGGCTTCATTTGCGGAGGTGCTATTCAATGTCACAGATCGTTTATGTACCAGATCGCAATCGGTCAATTCATCCAAATCGGCATGAGCGCCATCCAGAGGCCGAAGAGGAAGCTGCTCTGTGATCGTTTAATCCCAAAGAAAAAGGTAAATGAGACGATTTGATCTTTTTTTTTTTAGGGAGGAATCTGCTCACGAATCACAGGAGCAGCTGGGCGAGGAAGAAGAGGAAGAGGAGGAAGAGGAAGAACCACATCAAACACGATATCAATCCTAGTCTACGGCCTCCACCGAGGAGCGTCTTACCAGCGCCACTCTACAACAACACATCCGTCATAATAACGGTAGCTGGAATGAAGACAAAAAAAAAAAGATGAGAAACCAGAAAAGATGTTAAAGATAAACATAAGATAAAGAAAAAAAGAAAAACAGGCAGGATGCTAATCAAAAGAAGAGAGAGGAGGAGATGCACAGCGGAGGAGAGATGAAACATTCATATTAAAACAAGACAGGGTGATGAAACCCGAACAGAAAACGTGACATCAAACCGTAAAGAGGAGCCCAAACGGCGCCGACATGAAACAAAAGGAGACGCACCTCATTAGACTAAAGTTAAATTGACTTAATTAAGCGGCGGCGCGATGCGCTTCACCTTGATGAATCAGAGGAAGATATCAGCGCAGACGCATCTGGCTTTGATATTTAAAGGAGGATGTTTCCCGCAATCCAATAAAAACCACTCGGTTTGGTCTCCACTAAGACCAGCCGAGGTCAGAGCCGAGCAGCATGAAGACTCGGAGGTCAGCGGGTCGGGCTGCAGGGCCGTAAATCACTCGGACCCTCGCAGTCGATATGATCTCTGCAGGACAAACATCTCGCCGAGGAGCTGGAAAAATGGCGGCCACAGCGCGCAAAGGTGGTCGTAAAGCTACGGGCGAGGGAACCGGAGGAACGTTTGGATGTTTGGAGGTTCTGGTCCAGTCGGGAAGTGTTCTACAAGGAGATCCAGACTAAAGGAATCCAGACGTTTGTAGGATTTTAGTGTCTTTAAGTTCATTGTTTTGGATTTTTAACTAACATTTTTACCGCTCTGATTGGCTCTTTTGGGTTTTTAGTTATTCATTTATTTATTTTAACTGTAATTTAAAAAAAATAAAAAAATAAATATTTACTGTTGTTTTCCAGATGTTCCTTGTTTTGCTAAATTGCAGATAACATCCATTAAAATCAGAGAAATTTTTTTTAAAAATTGCCTCTAGGTTTAAAAGGTCTGTTATTTAAATAAAAATATACAAAATGACATCATTTATCAGAAACTGTAAAAACAAAAAAGAATCCACAGTTTTTTGTTTTTTTTTACCTTACCGACTGTCCTTGAGCTACATTCAAAAATTCCTAAAAATCAAACCGTTCCTACTTTGCAGATTCTGTAAAAAACAAATAATTTTGTGGTGTTTGGCGCAACCAAGAAGCCCTTTGTGATTCAGCTGCGACTAACTATGAGGCAGCAAAAATTCTGGGACTTTTCGGTTGAACTGCAGGTCGTGCTAATGTCAGACAAGCAGAGAGGATCCATGACACCTGTAGGAGGATGTCTGACACACGAACTCCATTTTTTGTTCTCCCNTAAAGGCACAAATTTATTGTTTTTTGTTAAATCACAGAGAAAAAAAAGATTAATTCACGTACAAAACCCTAAAATACACATAAAAAAAAAAAAAGAAATCTGTATTTTTAGAAATGGTCACTTACTCCTGTTTATTTTAAAGGAATAAATATGTAGGATTATTATTATTTTTTTATATTTGCAAATTAAAAAAACAAACAAATTATATATATATATATATTTGCATTTTATTTTACAGATTTTGCCCATTTTGTGAAATAACAGATCATATGTGATGAAAATGTTTTTATTCTTTTAAATTAAAAAAAAAAATCAGCAATGTATTAGTTATTTATTTAAAGGGAAAACTACGTATATTAGTGATTGAAAAATGCTTTTTTTTTTTAAACTACAGATACTAACCAGTGAAATCACAGGTTTTTAACGTGTTATTCTGCTTCTTTACTTATTTTTTTTCCAGTGTTTCTGTGCAGCTCACGGCGTCTCAGACCATCATCAGCTCGTCTTTTAAACCAGAGCTTCGTGCAAAAAGAAGAAGAAAAAAACAAGCAGCCATTAAAGCTCAGGAGGACGTGACTGCATCCATCGGTCAGGTCGCGTTGCAGAAACGTTCTGCAGCGGCCACGTCAGCGGCGGCGCTGCTATTTCTGGGCGCCTTTAATGGATATGTGGCCGATGTGAGTGCTCTTACTTGATGTTGTCCAGGCAACCGGAGTCTGGTTTCAAGATGGCCGTGTGATGGAACATCTTGTAGAGAGCGATGCCCAGGAAGATCACGTTGAGCTGAAACACAGGAGAAAGAGGAGAGAGGCGGGAATGAGGCATTTTAAATCAGGCACTTTGGAGCTGCAGCCTTTTTGCCAAACAGAGCGCAAAATCCAGCGAAGCCTCGGCGGCGGCGCCACGACGGTTAAACAGAGGCCCGGAGAGACGAGCCGGCTCACGGACTCTCCATCTGACTTATTCACGCTCCTCCATCATATTCACACTCGGAGGAGAACCACAGGGACTGGATTCCTCTGATCCTCCTCCTCCTGCTCCTGGAGCGACTCCTTGTTCAGCTTTTAGCTCAAACACACATCAGTGATTAAAAGTGAACAAATAAAAAAGCAGCTTGAACTTTTGCTCCTCACGCTCGGTAATTAGCCGGAAAAATAAACTCAACTGTT